ATTTGCAAAAATGTTACACGTAGTTAGTGTTTTGTAATGATAAAATACCAAACTGTCATATGGAAAAGGCTGGAATACTGAAAACATATTTGGAGTATTAGATGAGAGTATCAAATATGGAAAAAGTTCAGTTACTGACCTTTATGAAAAGTTTCTCTCAAATCTCATGGATGAGGTGTACAATAAAACATATTATAGTACTTCTCTGTACACGACGTTTCGTGTGTATATGTTTTCAGCGTTTGGTAAAAGCTTACCTTGTTCTGGACGTTGTAACGTATAAATTTTAACGTCTTCTATGTTTTTAGCTCTCGAAAAAGCTACATAGAGTTGTCCGTGAGTAAATACGGGTTCCTCCAGATAGATACCCACTCGGTTGAAGGTCTGTCCCTGCGATTTATGAATCGTCATGGTATAAGCTAACTGAACGGGAAATTGCCTTCTTTTTAATTTAAATGGTAACGTGTCACCTCCTGTTTTGAGGTCTATACGGGGAATAAAAACTCGTTCTCCAGTAGGTATGCCACTACTGTCGGTTTTTTCAGCGTCTATGTACTGGTTTCCCAATAAACGAACAATTAATCTAGTACCATTGCACAAACCTTTTTTTAGGTTTAAATTGCGTAAAAGCATTATTACGGCGCCTTCCTTTAAGACCAATTTGTGTGGCGGAAGCACTGGGAGTTAATGAATTTAGACATTCGACAGTGTAATTCGCCACTTCGGCTGCCGGGTCATCCGTTGTATCGACACAGTCAGCGCTACAGTAAGTTTTGCTTGGGCCCTCTAATTTTTGCAAAACTTTTTTATTTGTGGAATGAGTAATATTATTTGTTGGAACTAAAATGGCCCTACTTATGGCCACTGTTGGATCCATGTCATCAAAGCAGAATTCTATAAGATCTGGGACACTGGTAACGTAACAGTTTGTGGGTATTTGTACAATATTACCATATACTGTTCGTCGTAGAGGCTGTAAAGTTCCGTTACCTAAATTAAGGAGCCATGTAGCAAACTCATGATTCTGAATAGCCCTTACGTTTGTTTGCAAGTCGTAATTTGTAAATAGGGGCCAGTGTCGGCTACTTTGGCGTTTACTATGGTACACCTATTTCCGCCAACGACTATCGGTAGGGTTTGTCGGAAATCTCCGCCTAATAATGTCACTTTATTGCCGAAGGGTCTGTTATCGTTGCAGATGTCTCGTAGTGCCCTTTCGATTATGTTAAAAATAAGATTTGTGACCATGGAGACTTCGTCAATTATTAGGAGTTTACATGAGGCTATGTAACGACCTTCACTTGTAGTAGGGGAGATTCCGGTAGTCGTCGTTTCGTTAATATCGAAAGGTAATTTAAATACTGAATGAATCGTCCGACCACTTTGTAGAATTGAAGCAGCTATGCCTGTCGGACAGGCTACTGATATGGGTAGTTCTTCACCTCGTAGCTTTGAGATCAAGGTTTGAAACAGGTATGATTTGCCGGATCCTGCCGCGGCATTTACCAAGAAAAGACGATTGGGATCGTTGTCATCATGAACAGCATTCATTACTGCATTGCAAATGGTTCTTTGCTCATGATTGAGGTTTTCGTACATTTCCTGACCTTGTACTCTCTCGGCTTCTATATTTATGGGATCAAAACGTATTACGATTTCTGCAGGTTCTGGTAAACCGTATAATGCTAATCTAGTGCCGTTTAGCAGCAGTGTGGTTTGAATACATTGAAGTGTTTGTTGCAGAGCCCGTTCCTCAGAAAGGCCGTGGCGCTTAAAATCTTCCATGAAATAATTTCGGAATTCGTCCCAAAGCGCCGGAGCATCTGAAACTTCACAAAAAACTAATATGAAAGCGCCATTATTCCATGGCTAGAAATTGGCCTCAATGATTTGGGATCGAGGGAGATTATCCCTCTTTATCCTGCCTCATCTCGTGTAGGCCTGGACAGCCTTCGTAGGTGGGCCCCATCCGTCGTCTACCCCGACCGCAAATGCGGCCGGTGTAGGCGCTTTGTGGGACCTCCTTTTGTCCTGGCTGGGCCCCGCCGGCTAGGGCCCTTTCTTCTGGCGCTCTTCTTGCTTCGCCGGCTCGTCTGTGTAAACCCCGGGGGTAGTGTCATGTTTATGTGTGGTATGGTTGGGTAGGGTAGTGCGGCTATGCAGCCTGGGATGCGCTTTGCTAAGGTGGCCCT